GATGTCTTTAAGTGAGACATTAAAAGGGAATATAATCCTGATGTAAACTGATGCAACTGATTTTTTATGGAAGGTGTCTATTCCTGAGATTTATGTAATAATTAAAGGACTAAAATGGAAATCTTGAAAAGGAACAAAATATCTACTGGATATTAAAACATGATAATTAAGACATATAGCATGGGCTTGTACAAGAATAGACAAATAAATCAATAAGACATATCTACATGTGTACAGTCACCCGACTTATGAGAAAGACAGCACTGTGATGCAATAAGGGAAAAGATGGTATTTTAAAAAATGTGCTGTGCAATTTTGTCAAGAACTAAAAGAGACCCATATGTGGTCACACACTCAACTGTGATCACAGTACCAGGAGGCTGAGATAGAAGGATCACAAGTTCAGCCTAGGTTATACAGCAAGACCCTGTTGAAAGAGAGAGAGAGAGAGAGAGAGAAGAGAGAGAGAGAGAGAGAGAGAGAGGCATAATATTGTTTAAATAAGTTTTGTATGGTGAAATATATTTGTTCATGATAGGGGTTTCAATAGAAATTTTATGCTTATCACTCTCCCTTTGAAAGCATTAGATAGAATCTATAAAAATCCAGAGTGTATTCTAGAGGAATAGCAGTTGCGATGTACAGCTTTATGTGATTTTGTGTGCTCATGGAGTAATCTTGGTCCAACTAGATGATTGGCTGTTCCTCCCTTCAGAATATTACTGACCCCGGTGCTGATTGGGGGGCATACATTGTAGTATAGTCTTCTTGGTTCTTTACAGTTAGAAGATATTGTAATTAGATCAACATCCACTTTTAGTGATAGATACCAATGCTATACTGCTATACTAGCTTTTTCATATTTTGAACTTCATAAATTCTACCCATGCAAATATATATCCAAGGTGTGTGTCAAAGTGCCTGATTTCCCTGAACTTACAATAGCACATTGCATGTCTGCCTTTCTGCCTTCTTGCAAATTGTGCATGTGTCAAGTTTGTGTCTAACAACTTGCATTCATTCTAATAGTGAGGTTTTCTGAATTTCAGAAATACTTGCACATGTGAAATAAAGGTAGCAACACCAAGACCCATCAGCCTTAGCTACCTTCCAAACTGGAAGTTACAGTTTCTAAGCCACTCTTCCCCACTCCCATTTTTTTCTGATCTAAAGACCAGAGAAGGGTCTTGGAGCAGCAAAAAGAGATAAGAAAGTAAAGATAACAAAACAGCTGACACCACAGACCTTTACTTTGGTGATGTTAAACAAGTCTTAATTTTAATGAAGACAGAAATTGTTTAATAGATTAAGCTGAACACATTTTAATCATTGAATCTAGGTTGGATGTTTGTGATTTAAAGTGACTATAGGACTGTCAAATACCTATGGGTGAATGCAAAAGTTATAAGATCTGTCAGATTTTCTATTCACAGCCACAGTAAGCTTACCCACATGGAAGCTTTAAAAAAAGAGACAACATAGTTTTGTTTTAATGTCATTGTAAATCATTTTTGTTCCATGTGCTTGTTACAAAAATAGTTCACCATTATAAATATTGAATTCATAAGATAAAAATATTTTATAGAAAATTGTTTCTTTTTTCTCAGTATAACTAGGTTGATTGTGGTGACTCAACTCTTGCACGCATAATCAGACACTATTTTATTTTTCTACTAAGTACTGTCATTTGCATTATGTTGAAACCTCCTCTATCCTTTCGTAATTACATATAAAGCATATTTAATATTGTCTCAAATTTTGTAACACTTTCAGTCATTAAAACAGCTTCATTGTATTAAAGTTAGCCATACACTCCTTAAAGCTGCAGCACCAGCATTCTCCCTGTCTCCCTGGTTGCTCCTGTAAGAGTTGAAGGGCAGTCTTTTCTCTCACTCCTTTCTTCAGTGTCTCCAAATAGACTACTGTCCCCTTTTTTGTTGAGCATCATTGCTGATTTATTTTATAAACTCAACAAGGCTGAGGGCCAACTGACCCAACCTAAGAAATGTGAAGCAAGTAGCTTCTCTTTGAGCTGATGGTCCCATCTATCAAGTATCACACAGAGTTTCTCTGCAATCATTCAACCCCCAATCATATTAGCACTTTATAGTCAAATACATAGGGGTTCTTTTGGTCTGGACCTGGAGAGGTCCTCATATCTCCTCCAAGAGCTTAGACTGCCACTCTCATCTCTCTCCAGTGCTCTATCTTGGGTTTTGTAAACCTTTTTTTTTAAAATAGAAATTTATTTTCAAAGTTCTGGAGGACAGAAGTCCAAAATCAAGATCATGGTGGCTTCCTTCTTCCTGGGAAACCTCTAGAGGAGAATTGCTCTGATGACCTCAGGCATTTCCTGGTTAGGTTTTGCAAACTTTTATTGAAAAACCCAGATAATGAATATTTTAGACTTTATAGTCTACACAGTGTCTCAAATTACTACTCCTTTTTCATTGTAGCTCCAAAGCAGTTGCAGACTGAATGAACATGGCTATATTTAATAAAAATGTATTTGTGGACACTGACATTCAAATTTCACATAACGTTCATGTGTCATGAAATAGTACACTTCAATATTTTCAACTATTTAAAAATGCAAAACTGTTCTTAGCTTGTATATATGTATATATGTATATTTTTTTTTTTTGTGTTACTGGGGCTTGAAATCAGGGCCTTCATCTTGAGCCACTCTGCCAGCCCTTTTTGTGATGAGTATTTTCTTTTTTTTTAATTTTCTTATTTTTTATTTTATTTGTATGTGCATACAATGTTTGGTCATTTCTCCCCCCTTCCCCCCCAACCCCATCCTTTACCTCCCCACTCCTTCCCTCTCCTCCCCTACCCCCTCGCTACTAGACAGAAACTATTTTGCCCTTATCTCTAATTTTGTTGTAGAGAGAGTATAAGCAATAATAGGAAGGACCAAGGAAGGGTTTTTGCTGGTTGAGATAAGGATAGCTATACAGGGAGTTGACTCACATTAATTTCCTGTGCGTGTGTGTTACCTTCTAAGTTAATTCTTCTTGAACTAACCTTTTCTCTAGTTCCTGGTTCCCTTCTCCTATTGGCCTCAGTTGCTTTAAATCTCTGCATTAGTTTCTCTGCATTGAGGGCAACAAATGTTATCTAGTCTTTTGGGTGTCTTGCCTATCCTTATACCTCCTTTGTGTGCTCTCTCTTTATCGTGTGATCAAAGTCCAATCCCCTTGTTGTCTTTGCCCTTGATCTAATGTCCACATATGAGAGAGAACAACAATTTTTGGTCTTTTGGACCAGGCTAACCTGTGATGAGTGTTTTCGAGGTAGCGTCTCATGAACTATTTGCCTGGGCTGGCTTTGAACTGCAATCCTCCTGATATCTGCCTCCTGAGTAACTAGGATTACAGTTGTGAGCCACCAGCGCCCACAAGGTATTTTTTAAAAATCTATGGTCACTACTAAAGGTGAAAACAAACCATTTTGTAACCCCACATTAATGTAATATGTAATAAAAATTGAAAACGTTCCCCAGTACATACCACCAAGTTATGATAACTATTTTTGTGTTAATATTTTACCTAGATTACTATGTCTGCATCAGTGTTGTATATAACGATGTATCTCTTATTAGTACCCCACTAAAGAATAGATGTGATATTTGACTGATGTTACTAGAATTGAATGACTCTATTGGAAGAGCCACAAAAACAGATCAGATACTAGCAACATGGTTGAGGAGGGGGTGAGATGTGAGGTGAATTTGTTCTTTGCATATTTTCATTTCCTAAAATCCTACAATGCTCCTGCATCACTTTTTCAAAATAATTTTTGAATCTTATGAAAAGCAGAGGAATTGTCATGATCATTTACAAAAGAGGAAACCAGATCAGAGAAACAGTAGCAGAATGACTAGGCTCTGGTTTTTCATATCCCTATGTGTTTTTCTTCTGTCTATCATACCTACAACAGTTGCTGAGACAAATTGCCTATGCCTCAATGACTGTTTTTGGCTGTGCTAAGATTTGAACCCAGGACCTTCCAGTTGCTAGGCTCTACCACTTGTGCTGTACCTCAACCCCACCTCCAAAGAGCTTAGTGAGGACACCTAATAAGGGAAGTAAAAACAAGAAGATGACTACCTGCATAGACACACTCAGAGTAATTTTAATTTAGTTTGTAACTTAGGGTTCTTTTAAAATTTATCTGACTGATAAACTTTTTTCTCAAATATGTCATTTATGTTCTCACAGCTAAAAGTAAAGAATCTGCTTACAGGATGTTTTCTCAATCCACCCATTGGTTTCTAGTGATTTATCTCCAGCCCTGGCCTTTTTCCAGTTTTATTGTCAGATGACTTGCCTTTCTCTGCTTATGATTTAGACCAAGTTTCTTTCTTATCGATGATTTTATCAGGGAGAAATCAAATCACATATATACAACAGAATCTAACAGCTTGTTTTTAAATGCTTTACTACATTTGATAAAACCAAGTTAACAATCTGGTTAGGTCACCAAAAAAATGAAACATTTCTGAATTTTCACAAAAAAGTGCAGAGTGTGCAGATTAGAATTCGTTGTGCCTTCATTTCTTTACAGAACAGTCACCACCAGCAGAATGGTACATCATAGAAACTTTCACTGCACAGCATGTAGACCATGCAGGGGGTGAACGGAGGAAATGCCAAGGCAACTGCAGTCAAACATTAACTTTTGGAGAATTGCAGGCATAGGATGATGATCACATTATATGACAGCTCAAACTTGCATCAAAATCTGGGCTAATGAAGTCTACAATTAAATTCACATCTTAATTTACAGGAAATGATACACGTTTAAGCAACAGTTACCTCTTCTACATTATCCCCAACCCAGTTAATTAAAGTCTTATCAGAAAAATGTATATTAGGTGGATGTTTTATTTCCTGTTCTGCAACTTAAAATTTTATTACCCAATTTAATGATACACAAATGAGTGACATTTGTACATATAGTTTTTTAAAAAAGTTCACTAGCTTCATTTAACAAAAAGTTCACTAGCTTCAATTTTTGAATTAGAAGGGAAATTGTTAAATGGCTTTGCTAAAAAAAAAAAGAGGCACAACTGTATAAACAATGGTTTTGTAACAAGTGTAAATTTAATATAAAGACACCAGTGCTGTAAGACCAAAGCTAACAGACTTGATTTGTTAAGAAGAAGTGGGTTATTTTAGTTCATTAAAGTATACTTCACAGCAGCTATGATGTGTCTGGCACTGATTCCAAACATATCCAGCAATTCACTAGGCTTCCCACTTCGGGGCACTTCTGTTACTGCCAGCTGATGAACAAGGATGTCAGGCTCCCCCGAGACAGCTGCACATATGGCTTCTCCAATACCACCTTCTCTGTAGTGATCTTCCACTGTGATGACCTGGCCACCTGTGGCTTTTGCATTGCAGATGATGGTGGCAGCATCCAGAGGCTTGATAGTAAATGGGTCGATGACACGGATAGAGATGCCTTGTTGGGAAAGCTCATCAGCAGCAACTAAAGCTTCATGTAGAGTAACTCCAGCTCCAACAACTGTGACCTTGTCATTGACACTGTGACGGACCACCTTGGCCTGTCCAATCTCAAAATTTTCTTCTGGGGTATAAATAACTGTAGTTTCTGGCCAGCTGGTCCGAATGAAGCACATTCCCTTGGTGTTGGCAGCCAGATAAACAGCATGCTCTGTTGAGACAGCATCACTTGGATAGAAAATAGTGCAATTTGGAATGCTTCGGAACATGGCTAGATCCTCCAGGGCCATCTGGGAGGGTCCATCTTCACCAACAGACACCCCACAGTGGGAACCAATAAGGTTGATATTGGTTTCAGAGATGGCTCCCATTTGGATCTGATCAAATGCTTGGGTCAAAAAGGCAGCAAAAGTACTAGCAAAAGCAATGGTTCGACCACGTGCAGCACAGCCCAGTGCCACACTCACCATGTTTTGCTCAGCAAAAAAACACTCTATGAAACGCTCAGGGTGTTCTTTCTTGAAGATCTCAGAAAAGGTAGAGTTCTTTGTGTCACAATCTAGAACAATAACTCTTTTGTGAGCATGACCCAGTTTAGCCAGAGCCACACCATATGCTTTTCGAGTAGCTATCTGGTCACCAAATTTGTAAGCAGGTGGAGAGGTCATTTTTATATTAGTGATGCTGATCTGAGGGGAGTCTTCAACAGGGGGCTTCGGGGTGAGATTTCTGTTTGTTTGTATCTGACTCTCAATTAGTTTGACGATTGCATCTGCTCTGTCTTTCGGCATTGGCTTTCCATGCCAATCTTCTGCATCCTCAATGTTTGGAATACCCCGACCCTTGAAGGTCTTGGCAATTATGGCAGTAGGTTTGTTCTTCACTTGAGTTGCTTGCCAAAACGTTTGGCACAAAGCCTCCACATCATGGCCATCGACTGTGTAAGTGTTCCACCCAAAGGCTTCACAGCGCTTCTGATAGATGTCTGTGCAGTGCTCGAGGGGTGCAGTGCCACTTTGTCCCAAGCGGTTCACATCGAAGACTGCCACGAGATTGTCCAAGCTGTAGTGGGAAGCAAAGGCCAAAGCCTCCCACACAGAGCCTTCTGAGGATTCGCCATCTCCCATGAGGCAGAACACCCGGTAGCTGGCCTTGTCGAAGTATTTACCAGTATAAGCCATTCCACAAGCAGCACCTAATCCTTGCCCGAGGGATCCCGTTGCCACGTCAACAAAAGACAGACGAGGGGTAGGATGTCCCTCCAAGTCACAGTGAATCTTCCTCAAGCTCAGCAAGTCGGATTCACAGATATCGCCCACCTCTGCCCAGACGGCATAGAGGATCGGCGCCGCATGGCCCTTGGAGAGAATGAATCGGTCGTTGTCTGGGTGTTTGGGGTCTGTCTGTTTATATCTCATCGTGTGGAAGAAGAGAACAGCCATGATCTCCGCCGCACTGCAGCACGATGTAGGGTGTCCAGAGCTGGAGGCACAGGTGGCCCTGATGGAGTGGATTCGCAGGCGATTGGCCATGTCCCGCAGTACTTGCAGGGTCTCCGCGTCAGGGTTGGGGTCCTTGGCCATGGCCATGGCATGGCCATGGCTGCATTCTGGGCGGTTGCAGCGCAAACGCTGAAGAGTGGGTGGCAGTTTCGTCACGTGACCACCGCGCTGGGCTCCGCCTCCTGGAGAAACCTACTGCAAGTTAAGCACCAGGTGCTCGGTTGGGTGCACAGTAGGTGCGTTTGCGCATGCGCAGTTCCTCCCCCCATCCAACTGATCAGATTTTTAATGTTTACCTTTCCACTTGCAGATTCAACATCATTCAAAATGATTAAATTTCATTATACCCTTCTTTGTGGTATAAATTCAAAAGGGCAAGGGCTAAGGTGAATTTGTTCAAAGTACACTGTATGTATCTATGGAATTATCACAATGAAACTCTCTCTTGTACTATTAATGTATGTTAATAAAAAATGTTTAAAAAAGAAAAGAAAAAGGGCACGTTCTTACATCTGTGCGTCATAAGAAACTACTGCTAAGATTGTGGTTTTCTTTAATGCATGAAAAATATATTTGAGATATGCTCATTCTTTTATGTGAGAACAGTAAACAGAAAAGATTCAAAGTCACTTTTAATCTAACCAATATGGCAACACTAACCAATGAGATATTTGCTTTGCTTTGCTCTGCATTGACCCTAAGAAAAGGCTCCTTCTTAGACTGTTGGCAGAGTTCCGCACTTCTGGAAGTCTGGAACAACCTGATGCGTGACTCCCTTAATATCCAAATAAATTATTTACTTAATTACATATTAATTTATTAGTAGTGGCAATGGATTTGAACTCAGGGTATCCTTCTTGCTAGGCAAACACAACTATTTGAGCCATGCCTCCAGCACTTTTTTGGATAGGGTGAATAGGTTTGTGGAAGAACAAATATAAGAGACCATTGGCCATGGGAGGCATAAGAACAAAGCCCACAAGAGCACTTTAATGCAACCACTCCCTCAGCCAAGGGGAGAGCATTTGGCTCCTAAAAACCTCTATTATTGGGAGTTACTGCATTTCCCTTCCAAAAGGCTAATTCCACACCCGGGTAGGGGACTTGATCTGCTTGGAACAAAAGTTTTACAATGACACTACTCAGGAGACTTAGTGATATGGGGCTCCAATCACACAGAGCCCCAACCTCACCCACTGGCTATGATAGCCTGGAATAATCTCAATCTGAGTAACTGCTGTTTACAGATTGATGATGAGGAAAAGGTAATTAAAGAGATTACCGACAAGATTTTTTAAAAAAATCTTACCCATGTCCCTGTGCAGACTTGAAAGGGTTATAGTCCCAATGGCCTATTGGGGGCTGGTTCTCAACCCTAGATGGGTTCAAGACCTTAATAGGGACGTTTCTTGTTTTAAAAGCATGCCTGATATTACCCTGCCTAATCCCCCAGTACTGCAGTCTATCAAAATGATGCTCTTTGACCCAGAAGTGGGTCCAAGCATCAAATGGGGGAATGTGGCAGGAAGGCAGGGAGGGGGAAGAGAGATTAATGAGTGATACAGTAAAACAAAGGAAAACCAGAGTTGGGGAATGTTACCTGGAGACCAGAGGAGGGTCACCTCTCCCCAGAAGTTAAAACAGCTAATGAAATAACATGTGATTCTGTATGGGATAAGCTGTACACCGTGCCCCCCCAATCTATAACCTGCTCTAAATAGTATATAAGAAAAGCCCCTTTATATCCATGGTCAGCCTTTGGACATGAGTCCACTGATTCACTGCTGGCTTGCTTAATAAACTTGCTTTCGGGAAGCTTTGGTGTCCTCTCAGTCTCTGTCTACCCCTCCTGCAACATTGTTTTTGCCCCAACCACATCTCCCTACCTATGCCTATCATGTCCAGCTTATTTGTTGAGATGGCCTTGTTAACTTTTTGCTAGGACTCGCTTGCAACCATGATCTTCCCAATCTCTCCTTCCCAAGGAGTTGGGATTACAGGTGTAGGCTAGCATGTCCAGCCTCAAATAAACTATAATACTTCCTAATGTACCTCATTTTACTTTTTAACAACTGCTACTACAAATAATTTTCAGAACAAAATTAATTTGATTTTTTTTAGTTATAAAACTGAATTCTTGTTATTGAATTCTTCTAGTGAGCAAAGGTTAAAGAGTATAATAAAAAAAAGTGAAAATACTATGGCAGTATATCATGTATGCTCCCTCATGCTGTAATGTTTAACATTCTGGCTCTTGAACAATTATTCTTACCTTGACTTCACATTAAAATCACAATACTTAAAAAAAGTCTGAGTTCCGCAAAAATTGAATTAGAATTTCTGGAACTAACATCTGGGAGGCTATATTTTTTTAATACCCCATAATTTTAACAACATTAAAGTTAAGAACAGATTATCTGGTTAAATCAAAGTTAGGAAACAGTGGTTCTTAACGTGGGTTGTATTTTAAATCATCTGGGAAGCTTTTTAAAAACGCTTATGTCCAGGCTGTACTCCAAACCAATTAATTCAGAATTTCTGGATGCTGGATCTAGACATTAGTAATTTTAAAATCTCCCCAGACAATTTTGTGTCTAGTCAGGGTTATAAACAATTTACTCAAGAGGTCTTCCTACTCTTTATATATATTGCATTACATGTCAGAAAAAATATTTTAGACATTGTTGTTTCAACTAGTTTTATCATTTTAATTGTTAAAGACACATCTATTAGATGTGGTATGACAGTAAAGATTTTAAGGCTTGGTGAAGGCATGTTGGAGTTGGACATGTCCTAAGGAGACTGTCTTGCCTTCATCCCCCTCCCCTCATCCCATGACCTTGCAAATTAACATCTGCCTATCTTTTTAGGCAAATAAAGGGGCAGAAAATACAAGTATACTAGACAAGGACTGATGGCAAAGAAGATGGAGCATTAGAGGGAAAAAATAATCACAGGGAAGCTGGATGTGATGTGAATGCTTGTAATCTGACCCCGGGGGAGGCTGTGGCAGGAGGATCTTGAGATCAAGTTCAGCTTGGTCTCCATAGCAAGATCCTGTCTCAAAAAACACACAATAATCATCACCATCATCACCACCACCACAGCATCATAACAGCAAACTATGGGGGATGCCAGGAGAGCAGTGAACAGAAACATGGGTAGGCCACTGTTGTTTTGACTGGCGAGCATAAAAATGATCTATGAGGCAGTGTCCGCATGAAAAATAGATGGGAGAGTAGGAACTACTTAACATTTTTCCGAGTTCCAAATTCTTCCATTCATTTAAATTATTAAACAATTTCCTAAAGTATTAAGTAGAAAGTTTTTGACGTTAGTAAAGGTCAATTTTGTTAAGAAAAGAATGTGTCTTCCAGATTTAATACCCCAATGAGTGTGAATTTCCTTCAGTCACTGTGTGAGAATGTGTGGATTTTTTGTACTACATAGAAAATAATATTTTGTGGATTATTTGTAAAATATTTATAAAGTGTTCTCATTTTTAAAAGGGAAATCTGGAAATTTTATACTTATATATATAATATATATGAGTTATTTGTTATTTTAAGTATTTTTCTCTTTTAAAATATATTTCAAACTACACAGTTGATAACTATGTAAGTGTAAAGTATGCATAATTTAACACAAAGCTGTCCAATGTGGACATGTACATAAATAGTCAAATAAATAAAATACATGAAACCACCTTTTATTTCTGTTTAGAAGTTTATTACTGATAAAGGCCAGCCAAAAACTTGTAAGACAGCATGTCAGAACATTAGTTGTCTTAGGGAAGAGAGCATTATTCATTTTGGAGGTCATTTTGGAAGTCAGTCAAAAGTTTCCAGCAAATAAGAAAAAAGAAGGTTGAACAAACTGGGGAATACAATCCCACCAAAAGGCATTTGAAATTGAAAAATTTTTGTGGATATTTTGTTAAACAAATAAGACAGACCTTCAGAATTTTTAATTAATTAGTTAATTAATAATTATAGTACTGGGCCTTGTACTCAAAAGCACTCTACTACTTAAGCCATCCCTGAGTTCTATTGCTTTTAGTTTGTTTTGAGATTTGGTCTTACGCTATCTTTTGCCTGAGACAGCCTTGAGCCACAATTTTCCTACCTTTGCCTCCTGAGTAGCTGGGATTATAGATGTGGTGTCACAAGATGGTGTGTCACAAGATGTGACCCACCTTGGCTGCGCCTAGGCTTCCCATTTGACTCTCAACTTAATATCTGTTTTAAAAAACAGACAAAAATAGAACCCCCCATTACAAAATACTTTTTTCAGTATTATTTTTTCTCTTAGTATGCAAAAATATTTATTGTGGTGTATACTTACTAATGAAAATAAATGTAGCAGAATCACTAATACAAGTAGCTATGGGTGGGTGGAATACAAATAGCAGAAATTGGTATGTACAATTTCTGCAGTACTGGGCTGTGGGAGAGAACAGAACACACAATTACCAATTACTCAGGAGGTCTACCTAATCTATGAAAACACACATTTTCACTATGTGAGGGTGAATAATATTTAGAGGTTTAAAACACTGAATTTTTACTTATATCCTATCTAAACTATTGAATTTTACTGAAAGGGAATTATATAAAAGACACAAATTCTGAATTTGTCTTTTTCTTCTGTTGTTTGAATTGGGTTGGCTTAGTAGGTGGGATGTGGAGCAAATGAAAGGTGAAGATTGTTGTGTAAGGCACTAAGTTTGCTGGGGGTGGGGGAAGGGCATGTCCGCTACCTTTCTGTTTTATCACTTTGATAATTATGTTACTATTATTTTCTAGTCTACTTTTCTAGAGTCTATACATTGCATTTTGGAGGGAGATAGTGCAGAGACAACAGCGTGTTTTGAAAACTAGGTCTACTTCCCAGCCCCAGAGAACCAATGCAATTGATTAACACCAGTGTCATAATACCAAATATGCTTTGGTAGTAACAGAAATCAGCTGATGTCCCAGTTCCAATCGATAAGATATAAGCAGAGGTCTGCTTTGGTTACAATAATTTCTCTGAAAATTTTTCTTCCTGATAAACAGGAGTGAGCACCAGGAGACTGTGATGTCTTG